ATCAAAGTAGCTATATTGCATAGTAATTGTAAAAGTTTCCCAATTATCATATTTATTATATTTCCTTTTTTTTTTTTATATATTTCCTATTCGAATAACTTCTATATAGTCAGACTAAATATTGTAACCTCTTAAAACCTTTGTTGACACCTCTGCTTTTAAGTATATAGTCTAATATATAACTACTTTTTAAAGATAACACATGCCATAAAATGATACTTATGAATCGGATACAATATAGAAACAGGGAATGATATTTGTGAGGCGGCTAAAAATTTATCAGGAACTTCAATAGCACGCATAGAACTGAATCGCAATGATATGGCTATTGAAGAAAATATTAATGAAGAAAATATTAATGAAGATATTAAATCAAAACAACCAAAAACAAAAATCAAGACAATCAAAGGAATTTCTAAATTGTTTTTTTGGGAATGGCCTATAGAGAGTAGGCATAGTGGATATATTCACGCATGCCAACTGCCTCATATTGGAAAATGGGATAATTTTTCCCCTGCGTACTTAAACCAGCTCTTGAATGTTCCACTTCATAAGCCACAACCAACAAAATCGGAGCATACGACACCGAAATCTGTATGGACAATTCCAATAGATACAAAGCCCAGTGAGTATTACATGTCGTTCAAACAAATTCAACAAATTCTCAAATTCAGGTCTAAATTAGTATACTTCACTTACTCTAGTTGAAGAAGAATATGATGAAGGTAAGGGCCGTATTTATACTATTAATCTTATATATATAATGGTTGGTTCTAATTGTTTGTAACTAAAAGATGACATGAATTTGGATCAAAATAATGAAAGAGAAAATGCGATAAATAATAGTAAGTAATATAATTCTAATATATGTATTTATTATATTTTTCTACCTTTCATTCAAATACCCAATCAAATTTATCCAGATCCTATAGTTTTAATCACAATTCCAAGGTATGTAGTGTAAATAAATTATTAAATATTATAATTATTTCACCCGTTAATTGACTTTTCCTGTAGTGAGATTGATGTAGGATTTCCGTTGACTAAAGGGTGGGCGTTAAAAGGTAGTCAAAAATTAGGTAACAGGGGTGGTACTAGAATAAAAAAAGATATAAGAGCTATGTTAGAACGCTTTTTTTTATATGGAGATCAAAAACCTGAAGAAAAAATGAGCGCAAAAGCTATGCGTGAAGAGCTCCTGGAATATGCTGAAGGTGGCGAGATAGAAAAGGAGGACATTTCAAAAATCCAAACAATACAAAATTGGGTAAATTCATATGCTCAAGCCTTTAAGAAAAGGGCAGCAGAACACGAGCTTGAATTAGTACATAAATAAAATATTCTACATATTTGAAAAATAATTTATAATTTTTAGAAAAAATTTCATAGACATTTATTTTTTTTGAAGCTAGAATTATAATAAATATCTTACTTTTTCGTAATACTTAAGTTTTCTGTATCTAAAAATAAAATTTTCAATGACTCCTCTTAACAAGTATGCTAGTAGAGTATAAGTGAATTCTTACTAAATGCACCAAATTAAAGTATAAAATATCTACTTGGCAACACATACCAAATTAGAAAGTCATTAATCGTAAACGGTTCTTTTTAAAGTTCTAAATTGCATGCTATTAATGAGAAACGTGTATGCACTTGAATTCTCTAACTTGTAATAGCTATAAAATATACCCGAGTATTTTATAAGTTTTTTG